AGGAGAATATCTTTACCTCGGAAAGTCATATCCGAAAACACTCAGAAAAAACCACGCGAATGTTACGAGTACTATAGTCAGACAGTTTTGCAAGTAAATTAATAATATGTATTTCATATCTGCTGGGGTTTTGTCCTTTTAGAGGATGAGTTAGCGAACCTTAGAAAATAGTTGTGAACTAAGAAATAAGCAGTGAAAATCTACGATGAAAAGAGAGAGAGTTCAGCGAGCCCTCGGTTTCAAAAAGGGTCCAGGAGAACAACTGCTAAGCAGCATAAGAGTGAGGGGGGTAGAATATAATAATAATACTTAAGTATCAGTTCAGAATGTGCTAATGAAACATCGACATAATGCACTCAGGATAGCTTCCATAAAAGGGTCATAGTCGTGATGCCTCAACGTTTCAGTAGTCAGAGTGGAATTGTGATGATTTTTTTAGCCAACGAAGCAGAAGCAGTTTAGACTATGTCCGTTCATATGACTTCATAATTTGAATGAGTTATGGTTTATGGTGATAACGTGGTTTCTTGGAGACACGGGGCAGGAGAAAGTAATTTTTAGAAGATCTTTTAAATTCTTGATGATCCTTCCTCGGAGTCCTGGAGAAAACTGCTCACGAAAAATAAGGAACATTTAAAGTTTTTTCAATTAGCGTTAAGATGAATGCGCAGTCTTCACTTGAAAGCAGAGACGTTGATCAACAACCTAATTTAAATTGGCATGTTATTGCAAATATGTGTTAATTTGACCATCGTACTCAATAATGTCCACCACATGCCCAAGAGCAGGGATGGGGACTGCGGCCAGATATAGTGAAAATAGAGGCACCGCCATCTACCGCATTCTAAACCCTCTCCCCGCTTGAACCGATGACAAGACAAACTCGAGATGACCGAGCAGGAATCGGGCGTAAGCCGCTTTCTCCAAATGCAGACAGAAACACCACCCAACTTAGTCTTAAGTGACAGTAGCCTTTTGTGTTGGCGCTACTGCACCATCTACCTTCACTCACCCATAGTATGTGGCCAGAAAGTTCGTAAGCTCGAGTCTCGTATTTCTACTACGGCAAATACTGTTTATACTGCTCTTTCTAGCTGTGTGACTGAGTGACTGTTGTTAGGAGGAGCTTATCGAACAGCTAACAGACGGAGTGAAAGGTACAAGCTCCGAGAGATGACAGAAGACCAATTGAAGTGCCTCATCATTGTGAGCGCTCTGCACTCTTCTCGTGATGCCGAAACGAGGACTCATCTGCTCTCGAAAATTGAACAGGACCCAGACCCAACCCTGCAGATATTGACGACCGAGTGCCAGCGGCTAAA